ACAGGTATCCTTGATAGCTATGGTATGCCAGCTAAAACAGAAAAAGTTCTCTAAGTGATCAACTATATATGTTTTTTTTGTCAGTACAAGAAGTAATCTAAATGAAAATCATCTGATAGTAAATTTTTGAAAAACATTCTGAAGATCATTAGCCTTATTTCCAACTCTTCGATACAAATATTACAAATGCATCCAAAATCTTCCAAATGCAGAAGTCTTATTTGTAAATGCCACAGAGTGGCCACGTCAGCCTCTTGAGACTGGGGGTACAAACAGGGGGCAGATAGTCGTAAGCCTCTGATGGAGTGTCTGAGAGGCTTCCCTGAAGAAAATTTTCAGAATATTGAATTGATTTGGTGCTGTACATATTTTAGGGCAAAAACATATAAATCATGTTTTTAAATTTGTTAAAAATAAACTAGGGGGCCAATGACCCCCCTGTGCTCCCAATGGGGCCTCCACTGACACCACAGTTGTTTTGCAATACATATCGTAGCCCAATATGGTGTTTTTATATTATATCAAAATTCAAACTAGGGGGCAAATGACCCCCCTGTGCTCCCAATGGGGCCTCCACTGACACAACAGTTGTTTTGCAATACATATCATAGCCCAATATGGTGTTTTTATATTATATCAAAATTCAAACTAGGGGGCAAATGACCCCCCTGTGCTCCCAATGGGGCCTCCACTGACACCACAGTTGTTTTGCAATACATATCATAGCCCAATATGGTGTTTTTATATTATAGCAAAATTCGACATTCTCAGTACTATATGTATTATTTGTTGCCTGTTTTACCGTTTTAATCATAAATTACCATCATTAAAAAACTTCTTAAGTAAAATTTGACAAATTGATGGAGATTATTACACTTTCAAAGTGAATTGAGCACAAATACGGACGTGAAAATCTTAAATTTTTTATTTCGATTTATGAATTGATAGCTGAATGATTTTATTTGGGGTCTAAATTATTAAACAATTTATTTTTACGAGTATTTTAATGGGTAGCTATGATGTGTATTTGTCTAATAATGTAAGATTGGTTCGTAGTTTTGTCATTGATTTATATTGCCGATAATATCGCGAATACGACTGCCTCATTTTAAACTTCACTGAACTGAATCATGACTTACGTTTGAGAACTTGATGATCTCATCCTAGAATGTCAAATCAAAATTATTTTTCATAACGAGTTAGGAACACATGAAAATAAGAGGTAAACTATAAAACTCTTATTGTGTAGTCCACGAAAGACAACATTGTATAATGTATTAAAAGAATATATCTAATAAATGATATGAAATGACGCTTTGAAACATTGGCTATAGCAACGTAATTGTTCTTACCCGGAGAAGGATTTGAATCTGATGCCATGGCAACATCCAAATCGCTGCCAAATGAGATATTGCATTGATACATTTGTTGTATGCAAGATAGAGCTTGCTTACTCTGAGGAACACCATACTGCGTCTAGTTTTAGTGACTGATTTTATTTCTGTAGTCAAATCTCAAAACTTCAGTCATAACTACCAGTTTAATTTACATTTGATAAGAAATGATATTTTTATTTCCCATCCATCGAAATGATTGGCTTTAAATTAAACCCTTGTACAGATACAAAAAATTAGCAGAAAAATTGAATTCTTGAAACGGGGAGAAAAAAATGAATTCCTAAAATGGAATAAAATGATTGAAATGTAGTAATATTGTATGGAATGAGAGAAAAACTAGAAACTGACTGATCGTTGATTGGTTTAAATTCTTCTCGTTACCTTTCTATTTTATATTTCTTCCACGAGTCAAACAGGGAAAAACACGAGAATCGAATTTATATCGGTGTGAGAGATGTTAGCAGAATTCCGAAACAGGGAAAAATTATTGAAATGTTTCCCTCGGGGGCCCGTAATTGACAAGCGATCAAAGTCAATTTGTACGCCAATGTTCATCGTTAATTACTTTGTAAGGGTCAAAGGTCACCATGTATCACATGACTGACTTTTTTTTGAATTGCCGAACTCTTCAAATCAATAAATATTCTGTACTTAGTTTCTCCTTTCGGAATTGATTGTCATTCAGTTCAAAATATTATTTCTCTTTCAAGCTTTCTGAATAATTACTGATGCAAAATGATGAAAACATGTTTTTAGCAAAATTTCGTACTTTTTTGTACTTCTGAAGAATATTTACATTCCTATAGAGGAAATCGGCAACCGTCCTAATGCTAAAAATAGAACACATTCATGACTTGAGTAGGACAAACCACTCTTACAACTGTTAAAGTTGTGCATCATGTGATACACAAACCACCTCTATGACATCATGGCCGATCTCTCCTATCAAACAATCAAGAAGTTTTGGACTCCTGAAATAAGCCTCCTTATCTAAAGTGTAGTCTGTAAAACTTGTTTAAAAGTTTTTTCGCGATTCTCGGCTATTTTTAAAATGATCATTAAAATCATGGGCCTTCATACGAAATGAATTTTGTTTTCTGTTTTCAGGTAAAACTAGGGTGTAAAACTCAAATTATGTTTCTTTTCTGTTTTCAGGTAGTTTGGTTAAATCATAAATCTAAAGTTTTAACATTGGAAGATCGTAGAATAATAACAGATGAGAGAATCAGCATTGAACGACCCTACGTCAAGGAATGGAACTTATACATCCGCCAAGTCAAACCCACTGACCAGGGGGTGTATATGTGTCAAATTAATACAGACCCCATACAAGTCAGACCTGTATTTCTTCAAGTACAAGGTAAGTGAAGGGCAGGCAGGGAGGGAGGGAAGAGAAAGGGGGGGGGGGGTGGTTCAAAGAGAGTGGACTCAACGTGAAAGGTAGACCTATCATGTCAACCCCCAGACCAGGGGATCCAGTGGGAGAGGAATATCCGACAAGCCAAACCCAAGTGTTCATCAAATGATATAAATACCAATATCAAGGACTTCTCTACTGATCTAACCTACTAAAAGAGATGAAAGGCTTTTTTAAGTAAAGAAAGAAACAACCAGGTTTACAGGGATATCAACTTTTGTTCATGAGGATCCTTTTACCGTTTTATTCTTGGCCAAACTACTTACCATTGATCTCCAAAATTATCCATACCCATTTTGATCTACGTCAACTGGAATAATGAATAAAGATGACTTATTCAAGGTCACTAGTATTTTGAAGCCCTGACGACTATTTGTTTAACAACATATAAAGTTTCCAGCGCTTTAACTGACTGTGTTATAGAACCCCTACAACCATGCATCCTTTAATCAGAATGTTTTTATGTAGTGAGGCTCACAGCCAGACTTAATTGTTCAGAGGGGTAAGTAATATATCCAGAGGGACAATGGTGTATGGTCTTTAGTTGCAGTAATGAAATTGGTCGGTTGTCAGAATTTGTTCAGCAAGATAACAGACACAATGATGATTAGTTGATGGTGTGTGTAAAATGCATGCAATATCTCTTATTGGACAATTTCTTATCAAAACTTCTAAAATGTACCACAATTTAAAAACATACTAGCACATTTCCCTGCTCGTTACATTTAGATAAAGGATATAAATTGAATTATATTGGTTAAGATAAAATATAAAACCGTCTAACAGCAATCACAGGGACCAGATTGCCTTCTGATTGCTTTCTGGATGTCTCTGGTAGGAACGAGATAGGTTCTAATGGAAATATAATTGTTAATGTAAAAAAAATATATTGAAATGTTTTAACTAAGTCGAAATGAATTGTTCCTTGAAATGAAAATATTTAACATACAGTGGAAAAGAAAAAAGGATGAAAAATTTGTGGTCGTTAAAATGTTTGTTACTCTTGTAAATCTGAATGCTTTTAAGTGACTGCACTAAAACTATCCAGTCTTAATGCTATGTCTTGTGCTGTTCAAGCAAGAGAAGGACAAGGGGCTTCCTCAGTCCAATCCACCCCTCCCTCCCCCCACGACGCTAGCTTTGAAAACCAATCTCTTGATGATCTAATCAAGTAGTCTACAAGTTTGTTTCCAGTAGCAGAGGAAAGAGCAAAAGTTTAAATTTTTTTTTAGTTTTACAGATCAATCTATTGATAAACAATGTCAGAAAGCTAATCAAAAAATTTCATTTTATCATGTATCCACTTTTCTTACCATTAGACCTATTCCTTTGTTTAAAGGACACATGAAAAGTTGCAGAATTGAGGCTGGTCAAGCTTTGGCATCTGCACTTTCTGAGTTTTTTTCCAGTATATGAGAAGCAATATCTGATAAACAATGTAAGAAAGATATAACAGAAAAGACAAGGGGTATATTATGGTATAACTCAATTCTTTCGAGACAAATTACATGTGTGTTATACCATAATATACCCCTTGTCTTTTCTGTTATATCTACTCTCCACTTCTAAATGTTGTTCAAATCTTAATGTAAGAAATCTTATTAAAAAGTAGGACGTCGATCTTCAATTCCCTTTTTATTTCGTTATATTTCCACTTTTCCAATCATTAGGTCTACAGTTGCAGAATAAGGATGGCCGGAAATGGCGTCTCCATTTTCTGAGTTTTTTATTTCCAGTGTATAGTTTTAAGAAGCAATCTAATAATAAACAATGTAAGAAAGCTAATCAGTGATCAGTTGTTGTAAGTTTGATGGATTAGTGTTGATACAGCTTTATTTATTTAATCATTACTTTCCTATCTCTAGTTTAATTCATCGCCTCTCGTAAATCTTATCACAATAATCATACATTGATATCACAGGGTCTTGTTGATAACTGAGCTGATCGCAGAACCGTGTTGATAAGTGTGCTGATCGCAGAACCGTGTTGATAAGTGTGCTGATCGCAGACTCTTGATATTACGCAGCGTCTTGTTGGAAAGTGTGCTGAATGCACTCTCCTATCTCTAGTTTAATTCATCGCCTTCTGTAAATCTTATCATAATAATCATACATTGATATCGCAGGGTCTTGTTGATAACTGAGCTGATCGTAGAGCCGTGTTGATAACTAAGCTAATCGCAGAGCCGTGTTGATAAGTGCTGATAGCAGGGGCTTGATATCGCAGCGTCTTGTTGGAAAGTGTGCTGGGCCTGTTGATAACTGTGATGATTGCAGGGCCTGTTGATAACTGTGCTATCGCAGGGTCTTGTTGAATTTGAATTTTGTCATAGCCATCAAGATCGTATAGTTTCTCGATTTTGACAACCATGCTGTTTGAAGGGCCACAAAGATTACAGATTGAGGTAATATTCTTAAAAATTGAAAGTGTTTTTTCAGTAGGACATCACAGAGATTAGTGGTCACATATATACAAATTTGTCCTAAAAAATAATCTAAGTTTAATAACACAGGGTCTTGTAAATAAGCATAGATATCACAGATTGGTCAAATTTGGTCACGGTTACGAGAAGTAAATATCTCATAATGGTAATGAAAGTTTGATATCGCAGGGCCTTGTTAATTACCATGAGTATAGTCTCAATCTTATGAGTCATATTTAGATTGCTATCATGAAATGAACCTAATTTCCGACGAAGTTTAGTCATTCTTGAAGGAGGTTAATATTCGTTGGATGATTTCATTGATTGAGTTTTGATTGGCATGTTACAGGCCCACTGGGAATTGAAAGAAGAAGTTTTACACCCATCTTTTTGGTCCTTTATTGAGTCTGCTGCTTAATTACCCCCCTCCCTGCCCCCTCCTTGCCCCCTCCTGAAAAGATTTGACAAACGACCAATTCCATTACTGCAACTAAACACCATACCCCATTGCCCCTCCCGATATTTTTCCCTATCCTTACAGATTAACTATAGATTATGTACAGAAGCCTGATTTACGAATATTTAATTATAAACACACATTTTGTTTATTCAAATTGAAGAGGTTTTAAAGTCAACAAAACATGTCCTAATCAAACCACCAAGGAAATGAATAAAGTTTTGTAATAAAATTGAAAGTAGTGTAATAAAAGAAGGTAGTGTGTATGATATATTTTAAATAATGATTCGGGGAGAAGTTCAATGTTATAAATCATTTTAAAGAGTAGAAAATAGTTAAAATAATGATGACAAATTATTACTTCTATAACCATGGTAACATTTTCAAATTATTTCTTCTAATGTTCCATTAATAATACATATCATAAAATACAAAATCAATTTTAAACTCTACATGTCTGATTTGGGTTGCCAATATTTTCCTTTTTTTGTCTTCAAGCAAAGTTTGTGTGCCCCTTTTGTCCTGTCCCCCAAGATCACGAGCCTTTGGGCTCTGAAAGAAAAGAAAGAAACAATTATACTTTAAAAGGATAACAACTTAGGTTCACAGTTTTGCCTTCGAATATGAAACTTGCCTTGGAATCTGAAACTTGCCTTCGAATATGAAACTTGCCTTCGAATATGAAACTTGGATTCGAGTATGATTTAAAGATGAAGAAGGGAAAGTAAAATTTGTAGTAGAAGTATAAAGATAGTATCAAATGATGGGAAGCGAAGAACAATTTTGAGCCTTAATTCTCATTACGGCTGATTTTATTACCCACAATACTTAATCACCGAATCAGAAAGACAAGCGGGAGAAATTCAGATAGAGGCAAATGGTTGTCAAGAGATGGGTTAAGTACTCAACTTTAACCCTTGTAGAGCCATTTTAACTTGATTTCTGGTTTAACCTTCTTATTGCCAGTATAAATCTATGGAAACAATTCGACTGACCAGATATTCTAGACAGTCACGTCATTTGAAAGTTTACAGGACAGTAACTTGATATACGAAAATGTCTCATTGTAAATTTGATATAAAATACCCCCAAATTTATAATTAAAAAAGAATTTTCTTTACTGTTTGCCTATTGTCTAAAATTTGTATATTTCATATATTTTTGTATCTAGTATAGATGCTTATATTTCAGTATTCATGTATAGCCAATACACTGGACGGTAATTCTATGATTAGAGTTTAGGCGTGGATAATATTTATATAATCAAGTAATTTTGAGACAGTAGTGTAAGACAATAAGTATATGAATCTTTTTTTTTAAAAGTGATGTTTAATATTTTGTTTTTATATCGAGGATTGATTTATTGTATATATACGTTCTGACTTATTGTCACAAATGTTTAAAATAAAGAGATTGTAAAGAGGTTTTATTCATTTTTCATGTGTATCGGGGACACTTATATCATCAATTTGCACCATTCAAATTTTCAATCAGACGTCTGTGATCCTGTAATTCCACTAAAACTAAATATTGGAGGTTGTCACTAATTGCAATAAATGCTTTATGACTTAAGGCCCTTTCACAATTAGTGATATCATAGTTGTTTAGTTTCAGACTGCATTTTTATCATCGGTTTATGCTTTTTTCAGTCTATTTTTTTACACCATTATTTTGTCCAAAACAGTGAGTCTACTGATTCTTAAGCTGTCTTTAGTGATTCAACTGGAGGATAATTCTATGAAAAAATAAAGTTGAGACCTGATAATTTTTCTATAATAAAATAAAATAAAGTTCATGACTTGTTGACTATTGTCTAAAAATTGTATTTTTGAAAAAATATTTTCGATATTATGTTTTCCCAAACAGTCAGTCTACTGGTTCTTAAGTTCTCTTTAGCGATTCCACTGGACGATAATTCTATGATTAAATAAAATTTAAGACGAGTTTAAACTCTCCCGACCCGAATCTAATTCATTTCTGTAATTCGGTAAATAAATTGAATCTCGATGTCTAAATAAAAACTTCAGTCATTGAGATGGAATAGAGCATCAAACGAACTTGAGA